CTTATCTTTTACATCCTGGCCGCTACCCTCTACACGCACTAGCCTTCTCAGTGCCCATCCCAGATACAGAGTGTTCATTCTCGGCTATTCATTCATTCATTAAATACTTATTGAGTCCTGTCTTTATACCAGGCATATTATGGAAGGTAAAACAGACATGGCACTTGATCACATGGAGCTTATAGTCTTGTAGAGGAAACAAACCTTAATCAAATAATCACACGAATAAATGAATCACTGTCACTTTGAGAAATACTGTTTATGCTTTTGGTCCTCCCTATTCCCCAATGCTACTCTAACCCTTCTAACCTACAAAGACCACCTGCTTTATATTTATATACAAATTTCAAGGCAGGGCCAAGATAATGGAGTAGTCAGATGCTTCCTGTGGTCCCTCTTACAACAAAGACCCCAAAAAACAAGTGAATCGATTGTATATGACAGTCTAGGAGCCCTGAACATCAAAGGCAAAGTTGAGGAATCAGACTGAGCGGCAAGGCGAGGGAGAGACGGTTCAGAAGCACCGAGGAGTTGCCAGACCTAACCCGGCAGGAACTGGCAACCTGCAGGCCGGATCGGCTGGCATGCGCAGTGAGGCAAGCAGTGGCACTCGGTATGCGTTTTCTACATCGGGAGAGACTGAGTGGCAGAGAGTCTACTCAACCCTCCAGAACCAGTGAAAAGCCGCGCTTAATCGGCAAAAGATAAGTACATGCATCTAACCTACTGTGTGGATCAAAAAACACCCCCTTTGGGAAGAACCTCTCTCCCATTTACCTGTCTCCTCCCCACTCTGCACCAGGTCCTGGGTCGACTTCAGCAATTGCCATGTCCCCTGGGCCAGAAGTAGGACCTGTCATGCACCCCTGAGCCATTCTCCTGGCCTTGGAGAGGGAACAAATTAACAAACAGGAAAAAACAAGCTTCCAGCTCCCCTGTGCTGGGAACTCAGGGCAGGCACAGCTCCTTTGCCTAGGCACAGGCATAAGGGGTCCATGGACTTTGAATGCCTTTCACACCTGCGTAGACCTGTGTGGGCTCATTTCAACAGTGTAGGCCCTCATTAGCCTAACTTCAACAGTATCAGCTATATGGTGGAGTGCAGGTTTGTGACGTGTGACCCCACTCTGCCCATTAAGCAGGGTCCTCACCTACCCACATCAGTGGCTTGAGGACTGGTGGCTCCACCTACACCACCTAGCCACCCGTGATGCGTTGAAGAATAAGTGGTGCCTCCCAGTCCTTATAGCCAACAGCATCAGGTGTCCATAGTCTGGCTGCAAAACCCACTCACCTACGTACTCTAGGGAACGGGGACACGCTCAGAGGCAGCTCTCAGCCCCCTGTCTTGCTCAGCATGTGACCCCCTACTGCAGCCAAATACCCGTGCTTACTCCAATCACCCCTGCCTGTCTAGGACTGTAGGTGAGAGCCTGTGCCACACAACTGGTAACTGACTAGCTGGACATCTGAGCTGAATCCTTACAAAAAAAGTAAATGGACTCCTGGGCTCATGTGCCTAGTAACAGATCTAACCACCTGGTGACAGGATGTTAGAGCTTCAAAGGTGCCAATAATCAAGCTAGCTCACACAAGCAGCCTATTGTGGGATATCAAAACAAAACAAGAAGCTAGGACACAGTAACCAAACATAAAATAAATATAATAACTTACAGATGGCTCAGAGACAACAGTCAGTATCAAATTGCATAAAGAGGCAGACCATGATGGCTTCAGCAAGCTCCCAAAACAAAGAATCAAGAATTTCTTGGAATTATCGGAGGCAGAATACAAAAGATTAATATACAGAACTCTTCAAGAGATCATGAAGGAGATCAGGCAAAATGCAGAACAAGCCAAGGAACACACAGACAAAGCAATAAAAGAACTTAAGAAGATTATAGAAGAGCATAATGACAAATTTAACAGGCTGCAAGCGTCCATAGAGAGACAGCAAACAGAAATCCAGAAGATTAACAATAAAATTTCAGAATTAGACAACTCAATAGAAAGTCATAGGAGCAGAATTGAGGCAATGGAAGTCAGAATTAGTGAGATTGAAGATAAAGCACTTGACACCAACTTATTTGAGGAAAAATCAGATAAAAGAATCAAAAAAAGAAGAAGAAACCCTAAGAATTATGTGGGACTCTATCAAGAGGAATAACTTACGAGTGATTGGAGTACCAGAACAGGGGATAACAGAAAATACAGAGAGATTTGTTGAAGATTTTTTGACAGAAAACTTCCCTGATGTCCTGAAAGATGAGTGGATATCTATCCAAGATGCTCATCAAACCCCACACAAGGTAGATCCCAAAAGAAAGTCACCAAGACGTAATCAAACTTGCCAAAACCAAAGAGAAAGAGAGAATTTTAAGAGTGGCTAGGGATAAACGAAAAGTCATCTACAAAGGAGAGTCAATAAGACTAAGCTCCAAATACTCAGCAGAAACCATGCAAGCAAGAGGGCAGTGACTTCTACTTCTCTATCAGAGTCTGATTTGAGTCCTATTTAAGTGAAATCTGCTGCTTTCAGCTTGTGCTAGTATGCTTTTTTCTGAACTTTATTCAGTATCCCACATAATATTTGTTTCTTCTGTGTTGGTTTGGTCAGCTTTATTGAAAACTCCTTGAAGTTAGAGATCTAGGAGTTTTCTTTAATTTCTCTCTGTTCCATACCCCTCATATCCATTTCCTCAGGAAATCATGTTAGCTCTACTTTTACACCTATCTATTCTACCACCAAGTCTAAACCTCTACTATCTCTTGCCTGGGCTACCGAAGTGGCCTTCTGACTGGTCTCCTGTTTCCACAGAATAGCCATACTAATCTTCCTCAAAGATATCTCCGGCCATGTAATTATCCTACTGACACCCCTTTTAGTTGCTCACTTTCGCTTTCTGTCTCTCTCTCCCTCCCTCTCTCTCTCTCTCTCTCTCTACGCCACACTGGCCTTCTTTCTGTTCTTCAAATATGCTAAGTTCTCTCCTGCATTGGGGCATTTGCACCGGCAGTTCCCTCTGCACTGAAATGTACTTCATCCAGTCTTTGTATTTTTATTCTTTCTTATTATTTAGATTTCGGTTTAAATTTCATTTCCTTTTAGAGATCTTCTCTGACTATCCGATTAAAATAGCTACCCAGTCACTCTCATCAAGTCACCTTATTTTAATTTTCTTCCTAACACTTCCCACTATCTAATATTTTTCCTATATAAAATTGTCTCCCTGCACTAAAATAAGTATTTGTTACATTAATGAATGAATGAAAAATGATCTCAAGCCCCTGAACTTACCCCTCCTAAAAGGAAAGAGGGTCAAGAGAAGCTGACTTCCTGAGTTCCCAGGCTCCTCAGTGGTCTCCTTGTTTGGACCAAGCTACTGTTCATTCTAGGAGCCCTGTTTTAATTCTCTGCATAGTACTTATTACTATCTGATGCATTTCTTCCTTGTTTTTCTGTCACCTCTACTAGGATGTAAGCTCCATGAGAGCAGAACCTCATCATCTTGTTTGCCACTGTCTCCACAGTGCCAGGAACAGAAAAATGCCAAACATTTGTTGAAGGAATAAATGGAAGACTAGGTTCTACTTTGTCTTATTTCACACGAACGCGCACACACGCACACACACCCCACACACACTGGTACCTATCACAGTGCTAGGCGTGTAGCAGGTGCCCAGAAACTTTGGTGGTTACTCTAATCCATGAGGCCACTCTGAATGTTACTGGTAGATCCTGCGTCCTCTTCCTAGAATTTGGAATAGAGAAGCAGTTTAGAACTAAGAATCTGCAAGAGTATTTTTAGCCATACTGCAAGCCTTGTTACAATATGATCTCTACAGCTTGGAATTAGGTATTATACAGGTTCCCCCTAGTCTTCATTCAAGAGAGATTAGAAATTAACTAGGAAGACTTCAGGATTTCTGCGCAGTCATACAATTATATTGCATTATTGTGAGATTCCCATATATTTGAATTACCAAAAAAAAACCCCGTTGCATCGAGTCGGTTCCAACTCATAGCAACCCTATAGGACAGAGTAGAACTGCCCCATAGAGTTTCCAAGGAGCGCCTGGTGGATTCAAACTGCCAACCTTTTGGTTAGCAGCCATTGCTCTTAACCACTACACCACCAGGGTTTCCGTATTTGAATCAGGGAAGTTTTTTAGGGTTTCTTTTGTTTTGTTTCTGTTTTTTCCAGGTATATCTCAACCTCCCTTTCCCCATCCGCATACCAGACGTACACAGTCTACATATTCTAACATTTTTCAGTTTTGCAAGTCCAGCTATTTAGAATTCTACCCCTAAATAGCAGAAGAGAAGCCACATTTTATTTTGATTCAGTTCTTATTTTAATACATTCATTGCATCAGTTAGTGAGTCAGTGGTATTTATTGAGCCCCTTCAGGGTACAAAGTAGTGCTTTAGTTGAGCTATTGAGTTTGAAATATTAATCACATTGTTAAACCAAAACTAAATCTCCAAGTAGTTGAAAGTGCTGTTCAGGTTGTCAGGATGCAGTTCTTTTAGGCTTTTACCTTATAACATATGTTCCCACTTGGGCAGGAACAAAAGTTCAGTAAATAACTGAGGTGTTATTTTTTACCAAAATGAAATCTTTGAGTGGTCCTGGATCATTAATTTCCTTCCTGTCCAGTTGTTGAAGGATTGTATTATAATCATTGCATCTTTTGGGTAATTTAAGATTTTTGGATCTTTATGGCTGCCAGAGCTAGGGAGAAGAATAATACTTACCTTTCCCTCTCTGGCACTAATGTTTAAATTGAGCAGGGAAAGAAGGGATATTATTGTTCCCTCTCAGATCTCAAGTCTGTCCAAGATACTATAGTTCCTCTCCTCTGAGCTGACAGGGTGTAACGTCTGGATCACAGAATGGCATAAAATTCCTTGACATCATCTCAGCTGTGGAGTTTGTGAAGGAAGTATGCACCCTACAAATTCTGTTTCCATTATTTGTTAACTCTTTTCCTTTCAGATTAGTCTGTTGACTTCGGCAGTAAACCACCTCAAAGCCAGTGTTAAGTCAGCTTCCGACTTAATTAGCCTGCCTGCCACTGTAGAGGGACTTCAGAAGGTAAGTACTGTATGTGGGCACTGAGATTAACCTACTGCTATAATTCTAGCTTCTTACAAGTTTTCTTGGAAACCTTGGCATTTGAAGTCAGCTGTTCCAAGAGAATAGTAATAGATGAAATATATCACTGTGCCCTAAAGATTTCAGGACAGCGTTGTTTTGGTCTGGTTATTTGGGGCTTTAATTTGCAACTTTAGCCATGGTTTATATGGTTTCATACCTTTTTATTTGGTTCTATGAGTCCCTGGATTGCTCTGCTGGGACTCTTATGTTAGCATATGATGGGTTCACTTTTTCATCACATGCCTTTTCAATTCATCATTCATAATGTCTTCAGGAAAGCAGACCAGTTATACCTGAGAGGTTCTCTAAAACTGTTATTTTCTATGATTGAGAGAGAATTTTATTTAAAAAAAAATGATCTGGGGAAACACAAAAAATTAAAAATTCAGGAAGTGATAAGTAAGGATGTGGAACAAAGGAAACTTTCAGACCTTCCTGGCAGGAATGTAAATTGATAAAATCACTTTGGAAAACAATTTGGTATTATTTTGTAAAGTTAAACATGCGCATCCTCTGAGAAACTTGCTCCTAATTATATACTCTAGACTCTAGGACCTAGAAAAACAGTAGTTTACGGTTTCTGTATACTTAATCTCTAGGATTCAGGCCTAGAACAAGAGGCAGGGACCAACCAGAAGAATACTACTCAGGGATTCTTAGAGCTAGATGCGGAGAGTGGACAGGAGTAAAAAGGGAGAAGGAGGTGCCTAATTGAAACACAAGGAACATCAACCCCTGCAGCACGAAACAGAAGAAGGGACTCAGGAGGAAGGGAATCCCAAACATAAGAGTATCAAATCTAGGATCTTTTGACTTTTAAGTTAGCGTGTGATATGTTTGATTTGATTTACTCCAGGTGCTATAAAACGTCTAAGTTGTTTTTACAAAGAAGTGACATATTCAGTGCAAAAGCAAAAACAAAACTTGCTCTTTTATAGCCCACCACCTGTGTGTGCTCAGTCTCCATATCTACCGCTTGTCCGGTATGGTCATTTGCTAACAACTTTTAAAAAAAAAAATAGAAACAACTTTGATGAGGCCAAGTTCTTCTTGCCATTGTTCCCAAGGGCCAAGTGGGGAAAAGGTAGCTTCTAGTGCAGGCTGGCAGTCTTGCATTAGAAAAGGAAATTTGTTTATTCTTACATTCATTAATTCCATAAACATTGGTGGAGCTTTCTCCAGTATGTGCCAGGCACTTTGCAGTTGATGGGAATACTACTAGATTCACAGTTCTGTCAGCTGCTTCTTAAAAAAAATCCTTAAACAACAGCTCACTATCTTCTTGCACCCTGCTGGGCTCATACACCCAGCCCATGAGGATTCTCTAACAGTAGGTGTCTTTGAATGCCTGTGGCTTTTGTAAAAACAGCACTTACATAGATAGCATCCCCGCTTAGAGATTTTTACCCAGTATGTCTCTTTGCAAATCTTTGTGTTTATAATGCCAGACACTGCTTTTATTACAAGTGGCTCAGTTTCAAAGTGCTAGGCTATCCCAAATACCTGGTTTCAATGTATCTCATGCAGTTTTTTTTTTTTTTTTTTTTTTGAAAAATGTCATCTCTTGTTCTCTTGGATTCTTAGGTATCAGTATAATAAAAGTGACCTTGGTTAAAAATACTAATATGACACCATAAATTTGTCAACATATCTTAATAAAAGACCAGAACCCACCAAATAGTAGCATTCTTTTAGATGTTCCCTTAGGACAAGGCTTTTTTGAAAAATGGATTCTGAATCATATCCTCGAGTCCCCACCCCACTTGGGCTTCTTAAGCCTGATGTAAACAAAGTAAGCTACTGGCCATTTCTAATTCTAGTCTGTAGTTTCCGACAGGATTCTCCAGTAGGGGAACAACAAACACTGCCAAATGGAATTTTTTCTTAACCTTTGCAGTGCTGGGTTTTCCAAAGCTGAAAATGCTTCCCAACCATTTTTGCTCAAAAGTCATCATTTACTCCTGACAAGTAGCAATCTGCAGTGTTAGCTCTGACCATCTGCCTGTCTACACCTGGGCTTGACTAAGGCAATTTGTGGGAGAACCTTATCTATAGGTGTCTTTTCTTAGGAAAGGAGACTTTGTTTTCTGCTAGGAAAAAGCCCTTTAAATTGAAAAAATTGCTTGTTATTTAGGTAGATAGATTGATTGGTTCCTATTAATCATGTCAGTATCAGCTACATGGAATTCATAATTTGAAGATATTTAAAATAATTAAAAATACTGACCTAATGAAATTTAATGCAAATTAAAATTACAACGATATACCACTACACTCCTACTAGAATGACTAAAATTAAAAAGACCAGCATACCAGTGTTGTTGAGGATATGGAGCAACTAAGACTCTCCCATACACTGCTGGTGGGAACATAAAATGGTACAACCATTTTGGAACACAGTTTGACAGTTTTTAAAAAAGCTAAGCATTATCATGATGATAAGAAAGCGTACAGTGAAGAGAAATGAAAGCGTATGTCCACATAAATACTTGTACATGAATGTTTATAGCAGGTTTATTTGTAATACTCAAATACCAAAAACAACCCAAATGTTCATCAACTCTAATACAGCTATACAGTAGAATGCTATTGACAACATGCTAAATAGCTACAACATGGATGAATCTCAGAATAATTATACTGAGTGAAAGTCACACACACACACACACACACACACACACACACACAAAATAGTATGTACTGGTTCTGTTTATATAAAATTCTAGATAATACACACTTTGACATACAGTGACAAAGCAGATCAGTGGTTGCATGGGGATGGGAAGGGAGAAGTTGCAAAGGGGCATGAGGAAACTTTTAGGGGTGATAGATTTTTATTATCTTGATTGTGTAATGGTTTCACAGGTGTATACATATGTCAAACTTCCCAAGTTATGTATGTTAAATATGTGCAGTTTATCGTTATGTTAAGTATATTTCAATGCAGCTATTAAAAGGAAAAAAACACTGACCTTACTCCATGTTTGTGTTCAGAGTGTAGCTTCCATTGGTAACACTTTGAACAGTGTCCATCTTGCTGTGGAGGCAATACAGAAAACTGTGGATGAACACAAGAAAACCATAGAAATACTGCAGAGTGGTATGGTAAGCAAATCTACAGATGCTACAGAAAGTCTTAGAATACTCCTACGCACCCTTTGCTGCGTAACAGTGGTGATACCAATTTTCCACTTCCACAGACGCTACTGTGAACCTTTTTAAAAGATAATTTATTGAGTTTTCTACAATCTGTAAATTTAGCAATTATGGTAGATTGAATTAAAAGCTGAGTTTTTCTGCAAACGTGACACTGGAGGAGATACAGCATTAAGACACAGTTCCTGAGAGTGGAGTGGTAGGAAGGAAAATGGAAAGGGGGAGGGGAAGTGGGAAATTATCTATTGCTACATAACAAACCTCAAATAAAGAAAACAAAAATCCTCACAACTGGACGAATAAGCAACATCATGATAAATGGAGAAAAGATTGAAGTTGTCAAGGATTTCTTTTTACTTGGATCCACAGTCAATGCCCATGGAAGCAGCAGTCAAGAAGTCAACAGACACATTGCATTGGGTAAATCTGCTGCAAAACATCTCTTTTAAAGAGTTAAAAAACAAAGATGTCATTTAAGGACTAAGGTATGACTGACCCAAACAGTGACGTTTTCAGTCACCTCATATGCATGTGAAAGCTGTACAGTGAATAAGGAAGACTGGAAGAAGAATTGATGCCTTTGAATTACGGTGTTGGCAAACAATATTAACATACATGGACTGACAGAAGAACAAACAAACCTGTCTTGGAAGAAGTACAGCCAGAATGCTCATTAGAAGCAAGGATGGCAAGACTTCGTCTCACATACTTTGGAATTGTTGTCAGGAGGATATCAGTCCCAGGAGAAGGATATCATGCTTGGTAAAGTAGAGGATCAGTGAAAAAGAGGAAGACCCTCAGTGAGACAGATTGGCACAGTGGCTGCAACAGGGGACTCACACATAGCAGCAATTGTGAGGATGGCCCAGAACTGAACAGTGTTTTGTTCTGTTGTACATAGGGTTGCTATAACAAACCACGCCAAAACTCAGTGACTTAAAACAAGTTGTTATTTCTCACTATTCTGTGGGTCAGGAACTTGGGCAGGGCTCGTAGACTACCAAATGATGAGAGGCCATGTGGAGAGGAGCCCTAGAGGATGATAGGCCATTTTGAATGCTCCAGGCCCAGCCAGGCTCCTAGCTGTATGCAGCCATATGTGTGACCTCAGCCTACACTAAGTAGAGCAAAAGAACCACCTAGATGAGCCCAGTCAATCCACAGAATCATGAGAAATAAATTGTTGTTTTAAGCTACAAAGTTTTGAAATGATTTGTTATGCAACAACAGATGATTGAGACAGGAAGCAAACCTCTGCATTGCCCAGCATTTGTTTTCAGATGTCCGCGGGTCTCTTAATGCTGCTGCAGATGTAAGCGTCTACAGTCATTCAGAGGCCTTGATCACTTAATGGGTACTCAGCTCCATGAAGGGTTTATGGAGGGGCAAAAGGATAGTACTGCTATCAGCTGTCTTGCTGAAGAAATGAGTTAATTTGTACATGAAATCAGGACCATTTAAGGCACACAAAAGTTCCCTGGCCTCTCCACTAATTTCTAGATCTGCCCCACATGCTTTTTTCAAGCTTTGGTGTTCCAAATTTGAGTTGGGCAATTTGTAGAGAGGAGATCTGGGCCATATTAGAAAGCTCTAGCAGGGAGAGCTTTTCCTTTTCTTCAGAACCACTCCTCCTCAATATTATTGATTGAAGCTGGTACAGAAAAAACAGCGTTGCCCTAGGTGTCCAGACACCTGGATTCTAATTCCAACTCTGCCACTGAGTGAGTATATGACCCTGGGCAAAGCTGAACTTAGATAGTAATAAAGACCTCAGCAATTCTTTTATTATTTTAATAACTTGAACATTTTCTCAAGTAATTAAATATTTGCTAAAATAATTTTCCCTAACTCAGAAATTTCTACTCTTTCTAGAACCATATTTTTTTTCCTCCTACCCTCCTTTTCTCTTTATTGTTGACTTTTGTTTCTTATAAAAACAAAGTTTCATATTTCAAGGAAAACAATTTCTTTCCACCAGTTGCATTCCATTATAATTAAATCGGCCTCTTTCTCACTTCCATGGCTGCCAGTAGTAATACCCCTACTGGCCTACTTTATCCTGAATAAGTCATAGTAACAGTCTCTACAGGATTACTGTAAGCCATGCAAAGTTTTTCCCACCAAAGGAAAAAAGTGTATATACGCATGTTATATTTTAGTCTCTTCAAAGAGAGACTTAAGCATTGGGGAGGGAATGGAAAAGAAGGGTATCCCCCAAATATACATCTTGACCTGTGCTGTTGGGGAAAAACTAATAATGTGCATGATTGATTGTTGTGCTCAGTGCCCAAAGCCAGTGGTTACATGACTGGCTGCGCTATGAATGTCCAAACCTCTTTAGTCCTGGGGAAATGTTGACACAAGCCCAGGTTCAGACTCAGTGGTCCCTGAAAAGCTATAGTGATTCTATAGATTTTCTTGGAGTATAGGTGATGAGAGAGAGGAAAATTGTTCTCTAGGAATTCCTTCCAGTAAAAGCCTGAGAAACAGACTGGGAGGGTCTCAGTTCCTTGAGGCAGTCTGCCAGCAGCAGCTGGTCCAGCCGATGTTTTAGGAAACTGATGATCCAACCCATGCTTCAGGCTGAGCATCCCCAAAGGTGCATATCTCCTCGGGGCCTAACACAGGACTGTCACACTGTAGATTACTGGGAAATACTTGTTGTTTAATCTGTGGATGCCCCTGTGGGTGAACAGAATGTTCCAGGACCGTTCCAGATGGTTAAGTAGAACTGGTAATTGTTGCCTATGCTAACCTCCATTCCTGTTTCAGAATCAACACCTCTTGAAGGATACCAGTGGAAGCAACGAGATCACTCCACCACCTTCAGTTACATCAGAAGCTGACAATAAAACCCACAGTGAGAATTCAAAACAGGTGCTTTTTGTCTCTGGCTTAACTCCCTGTGGGCTATGGAGGCAGCCTAAGTAGTTTGGGCTCAGTATTGGGTGGCTCAGCAGGCACTGGATGCATTTATTTGCCTGTCTGAGATCCAAGCAGAGAGGGATGTGTGTCGGTATCTTAGGGATCCACAATGCTCTCCTGTCTCTTCTTTGGCACTCTGCCTTTTTTTTTTTTTTTTCCTTCCATGTCAATCAGTGGAGTAAATTCCTTTTCACATCTTGAAAGACATAAAATAACCAGATTATCCTGAAACTACAAAAAATAGCAATCTGGGCAAGTTAAAGATGAATGGATAGCAGATTAACTCAGAGTGATGGCTATTTTGAGCCATAGTAAATTCTAAGAATGTTAGAAAGTGTATCCTTGAAAATCAGGAAGACTGAAGGCAAGAGGTGGGAAAAAAGGATGTCAAGTTCAGAATCACATTAACTAAAGAGAATAAAGGAAATCTTCACTAAGAAGAATTCCTGCCCTGAGTTTAATGCCCTTTAAAACCTAGAGTCATAATTCCCTTTTAAGTAGCAATCAGTACTAGAGTATGTTAATAAAAATAATTGAATCTTGTACTAAATAATGCACGACTTGTTAAGGTCTTGTTACATGAGCCAATTCAGTAATTGGTATTGTTCCTAAGGTAGTTTTGTTCTGACAAATTAGGTTGATAGCCTTTTCAGTTAATAACCCAGCAAGCTTTCCCACCAGCAGGTGAGGTAAACATTGGCAAGTCAATTTGCAAGCTCTCAGCTTCCTGGGACCAGAGAGTGAATCATGTAGACAGTCCCCTTCCCTCTCTCCCCCTCATGTCTGGCTGAGGTCAAACAATTCCAGATGGAGTAAACTGGGAACAATTTAGAGTAGGAGGAACAAAGCAGAGACAGAGCAATTGATGGTCAACCAGGAAAAGGCGTTTACTTCAGTAACTTGACATAATAATGGTTGTTAGGTGCTGCTGGCCTGCTTGCCTAGTATAACGTCTTTAGCTGGATTCCACAACTTGATTTATTTCCACTCCAGGATATCCTGTACCTTCACAACTCTTTAGAGGAGGTAAACAGTGCCCTAGTGGGGTACCAGAAACAGAATGACCTTAAACTCAAGGGGATGAATGAGACAGTCAGTAGTCTTACCCAGAGAGTCAACCTGATAGAAAGCGATCTGGTTGCTATGAGCAAGGTAGAAAAGAGAGCGAGCCTGTCCTTCAGCATGGTAAGCCTTTTCAGATCTTTTCTGACATGTTCTGTACTGCAGTGTGTTTTGTCTGTACATGGGTGACATTCAACAACCTTGTGAAAAGTATTTTCTTCTGGCAAAATTGAGAGGCTATACATTCGTATTGTGCTTAATCTTTGTCTCCTTTAATCCTTACACTAGCTCTTTGATGTGAATGGCATAGGCAGTGCTAGTCCTAATTTGGAAAGAGAGATGTGGAGAGGTTAAGCTGCCTACCAAGGCCTCACCACAAGTTGTTGGCAGAGATGACAAGCCTCCTTTTGTGTTACCAGTGACCGTCTCGTAGGAAAGCTCTAGCACATATTTCCAAGTGTAGTCTTCTTGATCTTTTCGTTTTTAAGTTATGAGGGGTAGAAGCAGTGACAGTTGACAGTAACTGAAGAATCTTTTGCCATTCCTGTAAGCCTAAACTTGGCTTTCAAATTTATCCTGCTTCTGTCTACAAATTAGGAGAATTGTTTTGCATATAATGTCAGGAAAGCCATTTAAAACACATCAGGTCATACCAGCTCGTTCCTGCCAGTGAGAGCTGGCAAGAACTTAAGAGGTCATTGAGTCCAACCCCTCATACAGATGAGGAAACTGGCATAGTATGTCACTGATGCTGGTAGGCAGTGTGGTTTACTGGTTTTTCATGTTACCAAGATTGAAATGTGGCTTTGTTTGTTTTTCACTTTTCCATGTATATTGTGCTAGGATCCAGATGGATTAGTATTTAATAGCTGCAGGCTCCACCCTTCAACATAAAGCAAGGACACAGACATATATAAAGAAATGGAAACCAAATACAGGAAATTGTGCTATAAATTCAAGTAATCACCAGAGCAGGACGCAAGCCCACAAAGTTTCACTGTGGCACAAAGAAAGCAGCGTTTGAACTGGCTCTGCCACAGTGGAGGGTTGGCAAGTTGCCTTGACTTCCTTGGTTTTGAAGGGTGGATAGGAAGACCTGTTCCCCCTCTTGCTTTACAGGGGTGTGTAATTTACTACAAAGCTGTGAAGATTAGAGGAGCCTGATTTTAAAAAGACCTTTTGAACTCAGAGAAGCTAGGTAGGGGCTAGGAATTTTGGATGATATGATGAATATCATGCCTTGAAGGTTTTGAAGGCCTTATTGTGAAAACTTACCACCTCAAAACTCCCCTAGCTGCCCTACCTCCTTTATTTTTATCCAGCAAAGAAAACTGGTAATAGTATCCATCTGTTCTGTTTCTTGCAACAGCACACCCAGCATGGTTCTGGGGAAAAGTTCTCTCACCTTTTATACGTACTTCTCCAACTCCTCTGGTATTTCTGTTGAAAGTGTTTTGAGATCCTTTAAGTTCGATCAATTTGTCTAAAAATTGCTGGATGTTAAAGTTTTAATATTTGCTTTTAATCTTCTCTTCTTGTTCTCCTTACTTTACCTTTAAGATGAGTGATAGAGCTGCCACTCTGAAAAGAGAGTCTTTGGATCAAGAGACCAACAGAACAGATTCACTAAAAACCCAAAGCATAAAGGTAAATAATAGGAGGCTTAACCCCAAAAACCAAACCCATTACCACTGAGTTGATGCTGACTCATAGCAACCCTAGGACAGAGTTAAAACTGCCCTGTAGAATTTCCTAGGCTGTAATCTTTGTGGAAGCAGACTGCTACATCTTTCTCCCACAAAGCAAACATTGGTGGATTCGACCCACTGACCTTTCGGTTAGCAGCCAAGTGCTTAAGCACTGCACCACCAGGGCTCCTTACAGAAGGCTTACCCTGAAGCAAAAATAAATATATCAGTATCTCTGTACTGTATGACTTTTTTCTGAAAAGAAGCACATTTGTCTCATTTACTGAAACTTCAAGACAAAGTAGAAAATTAGACTGTCATTGTTGTGTGCCATGGAGTTGATTCCAACTGATAGTGACCCAAATATGACAGAGTAGAACTGCCCCATAGGGTTTCTCAGGCTGAAATCTTTACAGGAGCAGATCACCAGGTCTGGTGGTATTCTGTGCCAAGCACTTCGCTAGGAGCTGGGGTGACCACAGTGAGCAGGACAGACGTGTAACCCCTAGTCTGATGGTGCTCAAAGTCCATCAGTTAGAAAATCATTAACACACAATTGAACAGATAATTAATCTCAAGTATGATAAGTGCTGCAAAGAAAAAGTATAGGGTATGATGACAACATTAGATCAGGAAGGCTTGCCTAAGGAGATTACTTTTAAGCTAAGATAGTGAGTTATTTGTGCTAATGATGAGGAACAGAGGCAGAGATAAACTAAAAATGGTGGCTAACCTAAAATTATTTCTTATTTTTAGATTGCAGTCTCAGTATATACACTGTCCATTAAAACCTGAGCCACTTCTTCCACCTTGTACCTTCCCCTTCTTTAGTCTTCCTCACATAAGCGAAGCAATCTGTAATATGCTTTGATAACCCAGGAAAGAAAGTTTGATTGTAACATTCTTTGTGATAAGAATGTTGTTTAATATTATAAGCCTTGGGCTAAGCTAAAATAAAGAAAAAGCCAGAAAGATTGTGACTGAGTATCTAAAATATCTTCTCAGGTGCACATTGCATTTGATGAGTTCAGAGGAAATGAATTTGGACTGGGACCATTAAGTATAGACCATTTTTGATGTAACATATTCCATCTTTATACTTAACAGTTTTATATTATTTGATAAAAATCACATAGATTACACTTTTAACTCTTCATAAGCTAGGCTTCGTTGAGTTTTCTGGCTGCTGCTGCAAATATTTTTTTTTTTTTTAAAAAAAACCTCACCTAGAAAATGACAATAAAAATTTAAGAGCCGTATATAAATGTTAAGCACAAGAAAGTAACAGGTGGTTACTGTTGGAAAATAGTGATTTCAGCAACAGTTCAGATTTTTTTAATTTTTTTTATTGTGCTTTAGATGAAGGTTTACAGAACAAATAGTTTCTCGTTAAACAGTACACATTGTTTTATGACATTGGTTAACAACCCCACGACATGTCAACACTCTCCCTTCTCGACCTTGGGTTTCCTATTACCAGCTTTCCTGTCCCCTCCTGCCTTCTAGTCCTTCTCCTAGGGCTGTTGTGCCCCGTTAGTCTCATTCTGTTTTATGGGCCTGTCTAAGCTCTGGCTGAAGGGTAAACCTCAGGAGTGACTTCATTACTGAGCTAAAAGGGTGTCCAGGGGCCGTACTCTCCGCGTTTCTCCAGTCTCTGTTAGGCCAGTAAGTCTGGTCTATTTTTGTGAGTTAGAATTTTGTTCTACATTTTTCTCCAGCTCTGTCAGGGACCCTCTGTTATGATCCTTGTCAGAGCAATCAGTGGTGGTAGCCAGGCACCATCTAGTTGTACTGGACTCAGTCTGGTGGAGGCCATGGTGGTTGTGGTCCATTAGTCCTTTGGACTAATGTTTCCCTTGTAAACTATATTATGCCAGTTGAACTAGATGTTCCCCAAGACCATGGTCCCCATACCCCTCAGCCCAGCAATTCGGTCCCTCAGGGAGTTTAGATGTATCTATGGAGCATCCATGACCTTGCCTTGTACAAGTTGTGCTGGCTTCCCCAGAATTCTGTACTGTCTTGCTCTTCACCAGAGTTACCACTTACCTATTGTCTATTTAGTATTTTTCCACCCCCACCCCTACCCTCCCTTGTAAGATTGTTTCTTTTTGTGTGTAAACTGTTTCATGAGTTTTTACAGTAGTGGTCTCATACAGTATTTGTCCTTTTGTGATTGACTTATTTCACTTAGCATAATGCCCTCCAGATTTATCCATGTTTGAGATGCTTTGCAGATTCATCATTGCTCTTTATCGTGTAATACTCCATTTTCTGTATATACCATAGTTTTTTATCCACTCATCTGTTGATGAGCATCTAGGTTGTTTCCATCTTTTTGCTGTTGTGAACAGTGCTGCAGTGAACATGAGTGTGCATATGTCTATTCATGT